GAGCGGGGGGGGTATGTTGCTCAAGCTGCGCTGACGGGCAGGCGGCACGCAGGGCTACCTTTGGAGCGCATGCGCACGCGGGGCGGGCGCACAGGCGGATCCCATTTAATACACACACCCCGGCATTTGGCAGCCGCGCGGCCCTGTCGAGGCTTGGGCGGCGGCCGAGCGCGCAGCTGCGGCAGGGCCCTGTGAGCTAGGCCCCGCCGGCTCGGCTGAGTGCAGCCTGTCCGGCCGCTCGCGCGCGTTTGTGTGTGTGTGTGTGTGTGTGTGTGTGTGTGTGTGTGTGTGTGTGTTGCTCCTCCTTCCTGACTCGCCCTATTCTTTTCCTGACCCACGATTATCTCCCTTTGCTCTCGCCCCCGGCACCACTCGATCGCCGCAGCGACGCCGGGGCGGTCGACATTCTGATCTCGCAGGTCGCCGAGCAGTCCGCCCCCGCCGCGCCCGCGGCCGCTCCGGGCCCTTCGTGCCTGTCCGTCTGCCTGGCGGCCTTGGTCAGCCTCGCGGCGGCCTCGGCCTGCGCGCGGCAGCTGATGCTCGCGTGCCGCCTGCCCGTAATGCTCGCCGGATTCGTCTACGCGGCCGACGGCCCGGCCGCCGCGGGGCCGCCCGGCTGCTGGGAAGCCGCGGGGGCGGCGACCGGGGAGGCGGCGGTCTCGGCGGCGGCGGAGCTGCTAATGCTGCTGGAGCGGCAGGAGGCGTCGTGCGCTGCTCACACGCCGCCGCCGGGGGCCGTGGCGGCGGCGTGGCCGGCGGCGTTGCTGCCGGCTGCGCTTGAGAGCGGGGCGTGCGGCGTGGGCAGCGTGCGCACCTATGGCGGCACCGGTCGGTGCGGCGAAGGCGCGGCTGGGTGGGCGGCGGCGACGGGACGGTCGGGCGGGGGCGCGCAGGCGGCGGGGGCGCTGGAGAGGCGCGTGTCTGAGATGGCGACCCGCATCAAGGCGGCCGCGCTATCAGATCCCCGCAGCCACGGCGCCGCCTCCGCAGGCGCGCAGCTGCGGGGCGCCCGCTGGGGCGGCGGCAGCGATGGCGCCGCGGCCGCCGCCGCGGCGCGCAACATCGCGGTCGTCTCCGGCGGCGCGCTCGGGACTGCCTGCGCGGGCGCCGCCGCCGCTGGGGCGACCGGCGCGCGGGGGGCGCCGCTGGCTGCGGGTCCCTTCGGCCAGAAGCCCTGGGAGTATCCGGGATCGACGCCGCTGGGGCAGCACCGCCCCGGCTCGGCGCCGGCTGCGACGGGCGGCGGCGGCGTCCGTGCGCCCGCTTTCGGGCTGCCGGCCGCGGCGGCGCCCTGCACGCCGCACAACAGCCCAGCCCACGCGCTCGGCGGCGACGCGCCCGACGCGAGCGACCCGCGGCACGCCGCGCTCTTGCGGCTGCTGCAGCTGCGAGCGGCGGCCCCCTGCGCCGCTGCGCCGCCGCGCGACGGCCCCTGCGGCTGGCTTGATTTTGGTGGTGCTGGCGGCGGCCGAAAGAACGGGCGCTACAGGCCAGCGGCCCGCCCCGGCGGCAGCCCAGTGCGCTGCCGCGGCGCTGGTACCGCGACCTGCGGCGGCAGCGGCGGCGGCGGCGGCCCCGGTCGCTACGGCTGGAGCCTCGTTGCCGCCGAGGGCGGCGACGCCGCACGGCGGCTCGCTTTCGAGGAGTCGCTGGAGTCCGCCGCGCACGTGGCGTCGCTGCAGGCGATCCTTGGCGGCCGCGGCCAAGGGCCTTGCGCGAGCGCGAGCGCGGGCCGCACGCCGGGCGCGGCGGCGGCGGCCGCCGGGCTGCGGTGGGGAGCCGACGCAGGGCGGCCGGCTTTGAGGCAGCTTCCCGGAGGCTCGTGCGGCCTGGTCAACATTTCCAGCATCAGCAGCGCTGATCCGAGGGCGCCCGACCCGCGCCGCGGCGGCGACGCAGATTGGTGGGGCGGCGCCGCCGACGCCGCCGGCCCGCCCGCCGCCGCCCGCGGGCGGCGGTAC